TCTCGTAATAGTACATGCCGTTCCAACGGATCCCGAGAAAATGCCAGTCCGAGGGGGCGACGGGACACAGGCGAAATGCATTACGGATATCTACCTTTGTCAAGAGGGAGCCCTTGCCGAGGCGCATAATGGCGGCAATTGCGGTGTCCACGGAGTCGTAATGCAGGCTGAACTGCCCGCGTGGTATAGCATCGTTGACACTGCTGCCATCGGGAGACGACAGGTCATGTATCACACGAAATTTTCCATTGGACTTTGGCACAACACCCAGACCAGATGTCTGCATGCACAGAAAGGGTGGCTCCGGAAATGGACCTGCTGTTTGCCCAGCTTCACAACATTCGGTCAAATAGGAAGAAACATACTGCATATTACGAATAGCCGACAGGTGATTGGGAGAACTATGAACACCAGATATAGCAGCAGAATGGCCTATCGTGAAATCATGACACAACCCATGCAGCACAAAGTGAGAGAAGGAGTGATCAGAATGACGGTTAAGGAGCCCGGCTAATCGGCGTACATTGATGGGGGTCTCCACAGAATGTTTACGGAGCAGACGCTGAGGTGGCGGACTGTCCCCTGCCACATTTGACTTCTGGGTGCTTCCCGCGGCATTGAAGGCACACATGGGCACGATAGCAGAATGAGTTGTTGCATTGGTCCTTGTTGAAGTTGCGGCAGATAGGCTTCCCAAGATGGGTTGGCGCGCTGGACTGCGGCGGACCCACTTTTGCACAAGCAATCTTTCCTGTCTGGTCATTTAGTGATGGATGGTTTCTTTTGCACATTACCTGGAAAGCTCTGTTACTCTTTGGGTGGCTAGCTATAATCTTTGATTGGAAATTTTTATTTCCATTGCTATCAGGTTCGGCCTCATTTCCTCTGTGCTGCGCTGATGAGTTCAAAAAGAACGAAACAGCATGCTGTCCGCAGATTGAGTAATCTTTATGTATGCAGTTTCAAACATTGCGGATGTTGCGTGCGGTAGAAATAGCAATTATTACCTCTTTGTACTCCACCCGTTTAGTGCACCACGGGACAACACAGTAACATAGGCAGTGGCTGGCAATGGCAAAGTAATCAGAAAACAGGCCAATGCAAAGTGAGGGATTTGGCCTGCGTCTGTTTTGTACGGACTCATTCCGTACCAACATGGAAGTTTTCTTGGTTATACACAGATGCACATACTTTTTAAAACTATTATGGCTGCTAGAAAGCGCAACTTTTGTCCTCAAGTTCTATTCGAAATCCTATCAATCACTCCTGACGATACTGCTCTTCCGCTGGGTAGAGCTTTTGCACAAGCAATCTTTCCTGTCTGGTCAAGTTAGTTATGGATGGTTTGTTTTGCACATTACCTGGAAAGCTCTGTTACTCTTTGGGCGGCTGGCTGTAATCTTTACGTATGTAGTTTGAAACATTGCGGGTGTTGCGTGCGGTAGAAATAGCAGTTATTACCTCTTTGTACTCCACCCATTTAGTGCACCACGGGACAACACAGTAACATAGCCAGTGGCTGGCAATGGCAAAGTAATCAGAAAACAGGCCAATGCAAAGTGAGGGATATCTTTGGGGCTGCGCCTGCTTTGTACGGGCTCACTCCGTACCAACATGGAAGTTTTCTTGGTTATACACAAAGGCACATATATTTTCTAACACTATAATTATGGCTGCTAGAAAGCGCAATTTTTGTCTTGAAGTTTTATTCGAAATCCTATCATTCACTCTTGACGATAGTGCTCTTCCGCTGCTCCCCAACTCTCACCTATAGAACACCAGTTCTTGAAGTTGTAAAGAAGGAGAGTTATGAAAGAATGCGTTGCAAGAACGACAATACATGTAGAACAAAGGCCATGCACAATCGATGCGCAGCGGCGCATACAGAGGCCAAAAGGGGGCTCTGATGACACAGTGGTCAAGAAGACAGCACTTTTATATATTGTATTATAATATGAAGTTGGTTGCTCCAACGAGGAGCACACGCTTCTCGCCGAATTTGACACTTGACTGACTCACGACTGCCATCCGGAGCACACCAGGAGCACGTCGCACCTTCCGCTCGGCAAACCTGAAAGAAAGCACCACTCCCTGCTCAATACACAGTGTTTCGGGGAATTCACCCCTCATCAGTTGAGCTTGAGTAGGCTGAGGAAGATTGTGCCTGAAAAGCACCACTTATATACTGCTCTCCAGGCCAAACCATCACCAGGGATGGAAGGTGCGACGTGCTCCTGGTGTGCTCCGGATGGCAGTCGTGAGTCAGTCAAGTGTCAAGTTCGGCAAGAAGCGTGTGCTCCTCGTTGGAGCAACCAACTTCATGACATTACCGCCGAAGTCGCAACTTCTAAGTTCGTATTATAATATTATAATATATATTATTAAAAGCATGTCCGCGTAGGTTGCGGGGGTGCCACCTTTGCTTAAGGCTTTCAGGATTGATGTCTGAAGAGTAATACGATACAATGAAATGACCGAAGTGACGTCAACAAAAGCCGTTAGCAACAATACCAATAGGACTAATGGAAAACTTCATCCAAAGTATAAAATAGAATAGAATATGCATACAACATGTCTGGCGGAATTACGTGGATCACGAGAATCAGTCCTGTTAGGTGGGGCGGGCTCAACGACATGCCTGTCGGTCCGCTGCCATTGTGCGGACTGCGTCAGCATCTAGCGGCTGGTGGAGGGTAAGTCCATGCCATGATGACAGTTCCGTCTGCAGGACCGTTACCAAAGTCGTCCGAGGTCGACCCCTGAAGCGTTCAGTGCCCTCGTCGTTTGCCAAGCGAAGATACATATCAACTGCCAACTGTGGAGGAGCAGTTGGGGCCAAACGAAAGATATGGCCAGCGAGACTGTAGCACTGCCTTGTGATCATCTCGCTGATGGGGACAGCTCCGCAGCGCTTATACAGAGTATCATTGCTAATTCGTTTAGGGTACTGCATGTCGATGATGCTCCTTAGCTGGGTCCTGTGGAACGAATCCATTCGCGCGACCTCCAAAGCACTTTCGCTTTAGTTAAATAATCTTCCAACGAATATTGATTTTCTGCTTGTCTGTGGTGTGCCCTTTTCAACCGTTTGTTTACTTCTGTATGATCATCTCGCTCTTCCCATCTCCTATGACGGATCTGTTCCTATCTTGTCCTCAATTCGGATGTTCTTGATGGCAACTGCAGCGTGTAAGTTAATAATCATCAAAAAGTCTTTAGCACAAACCAATACTGGTCCCTTTTCGCTACTGTCTAATAGAGTCCGTGTCTGCTGGGGTGTCTGTGGTGTGCTTGGGCAGCACTTTTGCACAAGCAATCTTTCCTGTCTGGTCAAGTTAGTGATGGATGGTTTGTTTTGCACATTACCTGGAAAGCTCTGTTACTCTTTGGGCGGCTAGCTATAATCTTTATGTATGCAGTTTCAAACATTGCGGATGTTGTGTGCTGGAGAAATAGCAGTTATTACTAGGGCTCAAACGGTCACGGTTTTACCCCTGATGGTTAACTACTTAGCTAACGGTTTTATTCGGAACCTATCATTCACTCCTGACGATAGTGCTCTTCCATTGCTCTCCAACTCTCAACAACAGTTTTTGAAATTGTAAAGAAGAGGAGAGTTATGAAAGAATACGTTGCAAGAACGACAATACATGCAGAATAAAACTCCATTGCGCAATCGATGCCCAGTGGCGCATGCAGAGGCGAAACCTGCGAACAGCATAGCAAAGACAGAAAGATGTCTCTGATGACACAGTGGTTAAGATGACAGCATTTTGGCTTTAGTGAAAATCTTCCAATGAATTTTGATTTTCTGCTTGTCTGTGGTGTTGCCTTTTCAACCGTTTTGTTTACTTCTGTTTGACGATCTCATTCTTCTCATCTTGGCGGGTCTGTTTGTTTCATATCGTCAATATGGATGATCATGACGACAACTGCAGCTCGTAAGTTTATAATCAAAAAGTCTTTATTCAGAAGGTGGTGGACATCGCGCAACTGCATTGCAAATATAAGGAGGTTTGTCAACTGACAACCGCTCTATTTAGTTGGTATTCACTCTTCGCACAAGCGCTGAATGAAAAATTCTTCTATTGGTGATGTTGAAAAAATTATTCAAACTTTAAAGTTGCGACTTCGGTGGTAATAGTCATGAAGTTGATTGCTCCAACGAGGAACACACGCTTCTTGCCGAACTTTGACACTTGACTGACTCACGACTGCCATTCGGAGCACACGAGGAGCACATGGCACCTTCCAAGTTCGGCAAGAAGCGTGTGTTCCACGTTGGAGCAATCATACTTCATGAAAAAATTATTAGCGTAGTCAAGTGGTGTGCTTCACTGTCCCAACAGTGCTCAAAATAGGACACTGCAAAATGAGGGATATCTTTGGCATGAGCCTGCTTTGTGCGTTCGCACTCTGGACCACCATAGTTGTCTTGGTTACGCACATAGACACATGCTTTCTAACACTATTATGGCTGTGGGAAAGCGCAACTTTTGTCGTCAAGTTCTATTCGAAATCCTATCATTCACTCCTGACAATAGTGCTCTTCCGCTGCTCCCCAACTCTCACATACAGAACAACAGTTTTTGAAGTAATAAAGAAGGAGAGTTATGAAAGAATGCGTTGCAGGAACAACAAGGCATGTAGAACAAAAGAGCATGAGCAATCGATGTGCAGCGGCGCATGTATATTGGTATATACATTGAAACTCACTATTAAAATACGTACCTGGAAAATACGGTTAATATTCTGATTCTGTTTTAGCTGCACCTTACTGTGGTGACTGATTCATGATGAATGCCACAAGAAAACGTTTAATTCGCAACTCGGCTGTTGTACCGTGACTGCTGATGGGCACGTTTACATTCGGCATTTCAATACTACAGTTTCAAAAATACTTCTCTAATTGTTGCACAGTCATGCAGTTCCTGGCTAGTCTCTCTTAAGTGCCTGAGAAGTGGATGTGCTTTTTGTTTTGTTTTTGCGATGCGATGTAGAAAGAAGACGTATGGCTGAGCAGAAGAGGAAGGAAGTGTTTTCAAGCTGCATCGCCGACATTGTCTACGAGCGAGTACTACTCATGGGCCCTGGTCGCGGTGGAAAAACTGGAGTGTTGAGGTCGCTGCAAGACAAGAAGTTCACGAAGACCGTCAGTACACTTGGCATAGACATGGAAAAGCTTACCTTCACCCTGAATAAGAGCGAAAGAGGAGTGTACCAATTGGAGCCAACGAATGCATCGAATCACCTAGCCCTGCTGTCTGCCTCAATCGTCGACAAAATCATCGGTACTGGAGCTGACTCTCGGCAAAGTGATGTCCGTGGTACAAACGCCTTTCAGCGTCTGGCAGCTGGAGCAGCTGGTGCAGCTGGTGCAGTTTGGGGCACGTTTTTCAAGCGTCTGAATGAGACTTCTGGTTTGGGTGAGAACACACTGTTTGTTGACGTGTGGGATTTGGCAGGGCAGATGCCATTCCACGCGTTACACGACCTTGTGTTTTCACCCGAACGCACCACCTACTGCGTCGTCTTTGATGCCAGCATCAAACCTGATACACGGTATGCAGATATCCTGACTGATGAAGATGGCGAGGACAATCAGCTCAACATCAACCAACCCACCTGTACCTACTTTGATGTCATCGATTCATGGCTATGTACAGCCCGCGAAGCACTTACCGACAACTCCACAACGCCGATTTTCCTCATTGGCACACACCTGGATCGTATGTCGAAAGAAGATGTTCGCAAACGAAGGAAACAACTGCAACAACTGATGCTCGGCAAGAAGTATACTGACAGCCTTCATCCGATCATCTTTGTTAACAACACTCTGTCTGGGTCAAGAGTTGACCAAGGAGTTGCAGAGTTGCGTGAACAGTTGGCCTGCGTCATTCAATCCCGTCGCAGAGAGAAGTTGCCAATCTCGTGGCTGCCATTCCCAGAGGTATTGGAGGCGATTGCACAGAAGACGTCATCATTCATCATGAGCTACGACAGGGTATGCAGCATCGCTCAGGATGCATTTGGTGATACTGATGTGGATGTGCCTCGTCTCTTGAGCTTGAACCAGTCGCTTGGCTATCTCATTGTCTTTGATGATGAGGGTAGCCACTTTCCATCGGCTACAGCTAGTATGCCACCTGTTGGAGCAACACAAGCATCATCAGCATCCACACCACGAGCAGCACCACTACAATCACCAGCAGCAGCAGCAACAGCAGCAGCAGCAGCGCCCATGTCACAATCTCAGCCACAAGCCATGGCAGAAGGAGTAGCAGCCGCAGCTTTTGGCCAAAGAAAAATGGTTCTAGCTAGCACCCCATGGTTGATGTCAGCATCCAAGGCTGTCCTTTTGCCAGCACCTTTGTTGTATAAGCAAGCTGCCGAGTTCAAGGAGCATTACAAGCTGCTGAAGGATGGCATCCTGTGTGAGTCGCTAGCCATTCACAGATGGAAGCAGGAGAAGGCCACGGAAGGTCTGGTGCGATCTCAGGAGCAACGCCGGAGTCTCTTTTCACTGCTAGCGTCTCATGGCGTAGTCTACGATGCTGGCGAAGATGATCCATTTTGTACAGGGTACAAAGTCTACTATGTGCCAGCCCTTGCCCAGTGTAAGCCGTCACAAGCGCTAGAGTCCAAATCAGCGCCGCTCTACTTGGTTGACGAAGATCCAGACAGGAGCATCACTCAAGCGCATTTTGGCCGAATCACGGTGCGATGCTTGCAAAAGTACCAACCACACCGGACGAAGGATTTGCGCATGGGCCTCAACGTCTCTATGAGGTGCCAGAATGAGTTTCAGCTTCAGCTCTCCTATTCTCCCACAGCCATTTGCATCACAGTGGACAGCGACAAGAGCGAGAAGACAATAGATCACTGCGAGTCTGTTGTTCGCTTCATTCTCAGTGCCACCACAGAGCTACAGCAGCTGTATGGCCAGCGCCTGCTGCGTCTCCATCCCAGCATTGCGTGTCTGTGCCGCGATGACCGGCCATGCCAGCTTCATGACCAGCAGCACTGCAGGAGGACCGGATGCCAGCACTTTGCAGAGATTGGCAAAGACGTCCGACCAATTCGCTGTGGCCTAAGGCAAGCGCATACCGACCGGCCAACGTGGGATAGATGGATCAAGGTAAACATTGTTATTGCAATAGAAAGGTGTGCGTTCACCCTGCTCATTCTTTCAATGTATAGAGAATATAAGAAAGTTGGCTGCTCTCCACACTGGAGCTCGAAGATTTCCCGCCGACCTGACTGACACTTGACTGACTCACGACTGACACGCAGGGCACCGACTCTATTTATGGAAATAGACTGAACTACCGTATTTCCCCGAATGTGACTCACCTTTTTACACTAAAATCCAACTGTAAAAAAAGGAGTGTGCGACTTACAATCAAGCATGACTTGCTGCTGAAGTCAATTATAAAAATGTAACGAATCAATTTTGCCTTAACCTGAAATGGGGGGGGGGGGCTTGTAATCAGGAAATACGGTACTGCTGAAATACTGAATAGGATGGTAAGCAGTAGGTTTCAGCCCGTTTACCATTTATTGCTGACTGACACGCAGGGCACCGACTCTATTTATGGAAATAGACTGAACTACCGTATTTCCCCGAATGTGACTCACCTTTTTACACTAAAATCCAACTGTAAAAAAAGGAGTGTGCGACTTACAATCAAGCATGACTTGCTGCTGAAGTCAATTATAAAAATGTAACGAATCAATTTTGCCTTAACCTGAAATGGGGGGGGGGGGGGGGCTTGTAATCAGGAAATACGGTACTGCTGAAATACTGAATAGGATGGTAAGCAGTAGGTTTCAGCCCGTTTACCATTTATTGCTGGGGTGTGAATGAGGTTAGCCAGAGAGTGCATATGCTGGAGGTTGAATTTCATCACTTAGAATATCAAGTGCACGTTCCTTTTTTTCTTCTTCGGTGTGTTGATGGTGTTTTCAGCCGTTCTACCCGGAGTGCAATGTTGATGACTTGTGTCGCTTAGTTGTTGACGGCGCTGCTGGAATGAATGACGACGGTGAGTGAAACAAATGATAGGTCGATAACTGGGAAAGAATGGAAGGAAGACTATCCTAGAATTTGCTCGTACAATAGGTGTGTGCATTTCGTTTGCTGTTTGCTTTGATGACTTCCACGGTTGTTGTAGTCTTGGTGGTACTTTCACTGAATTTCTGCTTTGCCTATGTTCATTCTTATAATGCACATTGTGATAACTGGATCCTCCCTTTACTGCGTGTCATTTTTCTCTCGGCTTGCCAGACAATCCTTGGTGTGATATTCGCTACAAGAGGCACCATCAGTGGTTTGTCGAGAGACTTCCACCACGGGAAACTCGCCTTGCGGCGGTCTCGAACGGGCTGATTATGGAGGGTTTTCAACGCTGCCTGATGGATCGCAGTCTTCGCACTGATCACAACGAAGAATTTCTCAGAGAGGTCTCTGGCGGTGGTCGTGGGACATTCAAGCTGTTCCTCGAGGTCCTTGTTGACCTTGGCTACAACTTTGTGAAGGTGCGGGCGGAGCTGCAAGCGCTAGTGTCGTCTGATACTGACAGCACTGCTGCCATGACCAGTAAGCATTTTCTACTGAAGTATAGCATGTCTTAGTGTATGTGCGTGTGTGCGTGCGTGCATGCGTGCGTGCGTGTGTGTGTGTGTGTGTGTGTGTGAATCATATGTGGAGTTGGGGTTGGGATTTGGGGGTGGGGGTTGGGGGTTGGGGGGTGGAGGTTGGGGGTTGGGGGGGGGGGGGGGGGGACTACTGCACTTGAAAGTGTTATTGTGAGCATAAGTTATACTTGTGCTGTTGCCAATACACATGATGGGTGGTGAATGAGTTTCGGCAGAACTGTAGCTGTTGAACTGTAATAGAATAACCCATAGTCACAAAGTGTGTGATGCAGCCGGTGAGGTGGGAGAGGTTTGTGTAATTTAGATGTTGTCTTTGCTAGCTCAGGAATAGTCTTGATGCCAGGGTTTGACGCAAGTGTGGATTTGTGTTTCCTGCATTTGTACTTGTCTTTTCCATTACAAGGTGCAGTGAGTGCTAGTGGAGTGTCTCATCCGCAGGTGCCCGCGCTTCAGTTCATACCAGGAGCAACGGTAACAGAGTCTGGGTGAGTTGCAGCCATTGCATGCGTATAGCTTCAGACTTGCACTCCCCCTGTCTGTACAACACGCTCCATGCAGGTCAAGGTCTCATTTTGATTTCCTCATGGTGTCCAGAGTTGCACGTCTTGATCCTTGAGAGTCACAGTGTTCCTACAGATGCAGAAGACTCAGTCTAACAGAGTCTTGCACAAACTGTGAACTTTTTTTACGTAGCATGGTGTGACTCTTGTGTGCAATGTGACACTTTCCATTGTACACCTCCCTCCTTCCCCTCCTTGAATATTGTTGTGACTACAAGTCTTAGATCAAGGTACAGTGAGACCTCGCTTATCCGGTCCTCGTTTATCCGGATCCCTCGCCATCCGGAAGAAAATCGCTGGTCACCGATTTACATCATATGCCATGCTTACATACAGTATGTGTGTTCGATTATCCGGTTCCCTCGCCTATCCGGATATTTTTGTGGAAAACGGATGTGTGCGGTTATGCGAGGTCTGACTGTACACCGGCTAACGGACAAACAGGTGTTCAGAGCATCTCCGCGGACTGACGATGCTGGATGCATCGACCACACCGGGTCACCTGGTCGTCCGGCACGCACAGGTTTATGTAGGTCTCGCCGGGTTATGTTTCCTAGAGCTGGTGCTATCCAATCCTTGTTTGGTCGCCGGCGTGTAATGAGTCTAACAACGTAGTGCAGGTCGTTCTTCACGCTTCACCTGGTCTTGCACCGTGCCAGTACAATCAGTGCCAATCTGGCGTGCTGCCTCAAGATTATTCTTAGACTGTCGGCGTGCAGTATAAACGTGGCTCCCAATGCATGTCTAAATTTCCTGCTGCTGGATTGTCTTCTTTTTATGGTGCAGGAGAATGTTGGAGGAAATCTCTCACTCGGACCAAGAGAGTCTCTACCGCCGACTGAACGCAATGTTCAGCCAGGAAGAGCGAGGTGCGTATGCCTATGGATAGAGCATTTGATTGCTACCTGATCGTGATGTATAGTTTTTCTTCTCTTATTTTACTCTTATTTGATTTCATTCTATAGTTGTATGTGTGAAAAATGCCATAGTGCTACCATGGCATGGTGATGGTGTTGCCATGGTGTTATGAAGAAATACTGTTGCCATGGTTGCCATACTACATTTTAAAGTGCTATTGTGAGCATAAGTTTTACTTGTGCTGTTGCCAATACACATGATGGGTGGTGAATGAGTTTCGGCAGAACTGTAGCTGTTGAACTGTAATAGAATAACCCATAGTCACAAAGTGTGTGATGCAGCCGGTGAGATGGGAGAGGTTTGTGTAATTTAGGTGTTGTCTTTGCTAGCTCAGGAATAGTCTTGATGCCAGGGTTTGACGCAAGTGTGGATTTGTGTTTCCTGCATTTGTACTTGTCTTTTCCGTTACAAGGTGCAGTGAGTGCTAGTGGAGTGTCTCATCCGCAGGTGCCCGCGCTTCAGTTCATGCCAGGAGCAACGGTAACAGAGTCTGGGTGAGTTGCAGCCATTGCATGCGTATAGCTTCAGACTTGCACTCCCCTGTCTGTACAACACGCTCCATGCAGGTCAAGGTCTCTTTTTGATTTCCTCATGGTGTCCAGAGTTGCACGCCTTGATCCTTGAGAGTCACAGTGTTCCTACAGATGCAGAAGACTCAGTCTAACAGAGTCTCGCACAAACTGTGAACTTTTTTACATAGCACGGTGTGACTCTTGTGTGCAGTGTGACACTTTCCATTGTACACCTCCCTCCTTCCCCTCCTTGAATATTGTTGTGACTACAAGTCTTAGATCAAGGTACACCGGCTAGCGGGCAAACAGGTGTTCAGAGCATCTCCGCGGACTGACGATGCTGCATGCATCGACCACACCGGGTCACCTGGTCGTCCGGCGCGCACAGGTTTATGTAGGTCTCGCCGGGTTATGTTTCCTAGAGCGGGTGCTATCCAATCCTTGTTTGGTCGCCGGCGTGTAATGAGTCTAACAACCTAATGCAGGTCGTTCTTCACGCTTCACCTGGTCTTGCACTGTGCCGGTACAATCAGTGCCAATCTGGCGTGCTGCCTCAAGATTATACTTAGACTGTCGGCTTTTGGTAACGTGGCTCCCAATGCATGTCTAAATTTCCTGCTGCTGGATTGGGTTTTTGTTTGCAGGAGAATGTTGGAGGAAATCTGTGACCAAGAGAGTCTCTACCGCCGACTGAACGCAATGTTCAGCCAGGAAGAGCGAGGTGCGTATGCCTATGGATAGAGCATTTGATTGCTACCTGATCGTGATTTATCGTTTTTCTTTTCTCTTTTTTTAACTCTGCTTTGATTTCATTCTTTAGTTGTATGTGTGAAAAATGCCATAGTGCTACCATGGCATGGTGATGGTGTTGCCATGGTGTTATGAAGAAATACAGTTGCCATGGTGTTATGAAGAAATGGTGTTGCTGTGGTGTTGCTATGGTGTTATTAAGAAATGGTGTTGCCATGGTTACTATTGATTGTTTAGATGAGCTGGCCTGTGCTGTTGTGGAGGAAGTGACTGGAGACTGGGAGAACGCTGAGCAGGTCATCAAAGACTCATGCCGCAGACGTCGTCAGCAAGCGCCTGATCATCGTGATGCGAAGGCCATCCTCAGCTACTGGATGCGTAAGCGTAACAGTCCACCGTGCACAGATCACATGATCAAGCTGGTGCGTGATGTTTGTCCCTCGCGTGTCTGTGACATCAAGATGCTGCTGAGGTGAGTAATGCGTCCATTCTGCTGCTGCTGCTGTTGTTGTTGCTGCTTGTGCTACTGCTGGTGCTTCTGTTATTGCTACTGCTGGTGGTGGTGCTGCTGCTGCTTTTGTTGCGACTGCTGGTGATGGTGGTGGTGGTGGTGGTGGTGGTGGTGGTGGTGGTGGTGGTGGTGGTGATGGTGGTGGTGGTGGTGGTGATGGTGGTGGTGGTGGTGATGCTGCTTCTGCTGCCCATAGTTCACATTCAGACTTTGCAATGTGTTTGTGTGGAACTGCTGGTAATTGCTGTGTGAGGCTATACAGGTGGTTGTGCTCAGGGAGTATTGTAAAAGCAGAAAAGCTAGTTGGTGAATAATGTCGTCCAACTCCAATGAAAGGGAGATTGTGCGGTTGAAAATTTAGTCCATGGTAGCTCGCAGGACCAATTTCCAATGTTGTCCTTGTGCCATGTACTTCTGTTGTTGCCTACAGTTCGACTGAGCCATCCAACTGAACCAGTGACATGTTTACGCCACTCCATCACCATGGATACCAGCATGAAGATGGCTACCAGCATCACCATGGATCACCATGGATATAAGTAACACGAGTACATGTGATCATTGTATATACCCTACCCTGGAACAACAGTAGCCGTAGCTTTAGTTCTGCTTAACGTGCTACACTGTATGTCATGTCATAGCCACCCTCCGAGTTTCTGTGCTTTCCCTCTCCTCCAACCGTTGTTGATTCTGACCTGCTTTTCTCAGCAAGTGCAGTGCAATGTGCTGCAAGCTGGCATTCTTGTTTTCCATGGCCGTTGCTTGTTTTTTTTAAATGTTCCTCTCAGTGCATGTAGACGGTTTGTGTGTGTGTGTGTGTGTGTGTGTGTGTGTGTGTGTGTGTGTGTGTGTGTGTGTGTGTGTGTGTGTGTGTGTGTGTGTGTGTGTGTGTGTGTGTGTGTGTGTGTGTGTGTGTGTGTGTGTGTGTGTGTGTGTGTGTGTGTGTGTGTGTGTGTGTGTGTGTGTGTGTGTGTGTGTGTGTGTGTGTGTGTGTGTGTGTGTGTGTGTGTGTGTGTGTGTGTGTGTGTGTGTGTGTGTGTGTGTGTGTGTGTGTGTGTGTGTGTGTGTGTGTGTGTGTGTGTGTGTGTGTGTGTGTGTGTGTGTGTGTGTGTGTGTGTGTGTGTGTGTGTGTGTGTGTGTGTGTGTGTGTGTGTGTGTGTGTGTGTGTGTGTGTGTGTGTGAGTGCACACACACTTGATTGTACTTGTAGACCATGCCCGGATAGCTCTAGCTACAACAAGCAATATTTTAGTTACATGTAGGTCTCAACATAGGGTGTCTTCGACAGTATCTTGTTTGCCCCCCCCCCCCCCTCCCTCTAACTTACATGTAGCTGGCTGCTGCTTTTCCACTGGAGCAATCTGTGTTTGTAGGCTTGCTTGAAATCTCTAGTGTCCTGTCTTTAGTAGCCACTTACACACTCTAGTTAAACCGCCTGGCTAATGCAAACTCTACTTGTAACTGCACTACGCTGTGCACGGACACGGAGTGCAGCTGCATTCGCGAAACGCTTTTTTCCCTATTTCTTGTGTGTATGCTGCTACTAGTGCTGGTCGTGTCCGCTGTCACGTGATTGCTGCACATTGCTCTGGGTCTGCCTTCCAGAGCCTGTGCAGTGGTCCAGTCCGCTGGGCTGCGCTGTACATGTAAATACATGATGTTCTCTTCTCTCTCTCTCTCTCTCTCTCTCTCTCTCTCTCTCTCTCTCTCTCTCTCTCTCTCTCTTCTCTCTCTCTCTCTCTCTCTCTCTCTCTCTCTCTCTCTCTCTCTCTCTCTCTCTCTCTCTCTCTCTCTCTCTCTCTCTCTCTCTCTCTCTCTCTCTCTCTCTCTCTCTCTCTCTCTCCTCTCCCTCTCCCTCTCCCTCTCTCTCTCTCCCTCTCCCTCCCTCTCTCTCTCTCTCTCTCTCTCTCTCCGCTGCTTCTTCGGCGTGTCTTGTTTTGGATCAAACTTCTATTATGTGTTACTGAATTTCTTCTATCGCAATGTGCTGATGAACAGAATTCAGTCTGTTATGTATTTATATCCCTATCCTCACTATACTACTGCTAGTACATGCCTTTCCTCCTATCCTGATTTTCTGTTATGCATCCCAGTCCCCTATCCCCAGACTGTCATGCATCAATTGTTTCCATCCCTCTACAAACACTGACTGAACGGTAGCATGTCCTAGAGTGACATCAGCCACTTACCCCCATGTATGGCCACGGCTAGCTGCTCTATGTACTAGTATTTCTATGTGTGAGTCTGACGGTCCCGATTTGGCTGTGTACGTGTGTGTACAGGGTGAGCTTGTGTGTACATGTGTGTACATGTGTGTACATGTGTGTACATGTGTGTACATGTGTGTACAGGGGGAGCTTGTGTGTACAGGGGGAGCTTGTGTGTCTGAGGGACTGGACTGCAATGGTTGGCGTTCCTAAAGTGTGTGTTCCCCGCCAGACTCAGTTCCTCCAGCTGTTGAGGAGACTGGTATTACATGAAGTAAATGGTGTAAAATATCTCGTCAAGAAAGATATTATCATGATGGAACGGAGTGGTAATAATACAACTCTAGGGGTATGGTGATGGAATCCGGGTGGCAATTTATCAATCAGGAATATCTCAGACATTGCTGTGGCTAGTTGCTAACCTAGACAATAATTATTGATGGTGTGCTGATGCACACATACACATACACGCATGCACACGTGCACAAACGAGCACGTATCAAGAAAGCATGGGCACGTGCGCAAACGAGCGTGT